TGACCGGGAATCTTCCCATGGAAGATTCCCGGTCATGATATGATCTCGTGGGAAATTATAATGAAGGTAGGCATGAAAAACAAATAGTAAGGCAGGGTATTAAGATTATAATCCATCATTTTATTTTAGCAATTTTTTCATTGTTTATTTCTTTTAGCAGCTGAGAGTTCAGTTAATTCAATGCTTGATAAATCCGCCTGTAGATAGTTGAAACCACTGGTTCAAGCGCGACGGCGATAAAATTCTATCTTTCAGGTTCGACATATTGACTTTTTAAGTGCAGCTCGCATAATTTAATGTTTATTAAATTAGTATTTGATTATTTTAAAACAAGAATATTATGCAATATTTGATAGATCTGACCTGTGTGATACTCTTCGAATTCATCAATATGCCAGTTCCTGAAGCATAAGTGCTAATTTATGAAATCCATTTATAGTACTTTAATATGTGACAATATATGAATTCATATTATTTTTAGTTTGCTTATCATAGATCAATTAAATTGAACAAACTATAGTAAAGCAGAATTACCTAATATAGTTAATGTAGTATTTGGATATAGTAAAGATCAAAATTGGAAGACAATTGAATTAGATGAATTTTTGTTGGCAATAGTGTTTTATTATGGTGTGCATCTTTTTTCATACTCCTTTATCACATATAAATACTCTTGTATTGTTCAATATAGGGATTATAGAAGATCAGTATGGTACGAGTGACCGAATTAGTATGGTTCGGGCTGAAATTATAAAATAATGCCATACTGATCAACTATAATTGCTAACCCTAACGCTATATATGACACTAGATCAGTATAGTACGATTATAAAATTTGGCCTGCTCTGTACCCATACCATACTGATCTTCGTAACTCCTATTCATATAGTAATATAGCCCGATAACCTTATTTATTTCATACATAGACAGAATGAAGTAGAATTCTGATACAGTACAATTCATAAAAGAAATCTTTTTCTTTTATTAAAATAGTTTTATTTTAGGTGAGGTTGTGGCAACTGAGACTTTCGTGACAAAAGTGGTCGATTGACTATAAAGACACTAGATATCAGATACACGATACCAGATAATTCTAATATCAACTAAAAAAGTGTTATGATTCCGGATATTTTAAATCTGAGTAAATTTATAGAATATTACGATAAATTTTTTCAATTGACATTTTTACATGTAAGAGTAAGATCTCTAATTAAAGTAAAAAATATACCCGTTAGGCAAATCTAAGCCGTTAATTTGAAATCTAACCTACACGTTATTTCGAAGCATTAATATTGGTCATTACTTTATTTCATTTAGCAATTATATTCGACTAATATGTTTCCTAAAAATCCTTAACTACTAAAAACTATATACATTAGCCATTTTATCTTGTCCCTCAACGATTATGCCCATTTAACTTGTAACATTGTAATACCTTCATTAATAGAAATTTTCGAACGTTCAATGAACCATCTAGTATTAACAGTATTAGATTCAAAAAGATATGACAAACTAGCTTTCCAGTCTATAGGATGTACTTTTTTTAAAGTAATTTGGTACTTTATAAAGTTGAAAAAAAAGTTCCCTGTTTTCGTGTTCTAATAATTCAATAATACACGATCGTCTATGGTTTTCATGGCCGCCATCTTTAAGTGTGGATTGGAAATAGCGACAAACTTGAAGATGGTTTTTTTTTTCAATAGCTGAGCAGTTAAAAGCAGCAATTCCAAATTCTTGATGGATGTCAATTAATTCATGGATATGAGATACCAATACGTGTATGTAAGGGGTAGCGTCAGCTACCTTTTGTTTGTATAACAAGTCAACATTACATAATAATTGCATAATAATAATATTTATAAAATTTAAGGCGAAAAATAGATATTTACCCGATACATTCTACGAACAAAACTTGGTCGATTCGGTTGCCCCTTGGATGGTTCTAAAAATAGCTTTAACCATGACTCTGCCTTAACTTTAAATTCTGACCCCGTTATATTCGGTATCGTCATCATTTTGTATAATTCAAAAAAGCCAGTCCAGAGTTGGCGAATTTTAATCGCACGTTCTTGAGAAAATTCTTTTGTTATAAAATTAGTAAAATCAAAATTCTCTAAAATATTAAGTTTATCGGGACCCATTAATGATGTATAAGATGAGCTTTGTGTTGTATTTTCAATTCAAAAATGAAAATGATTAATTCGCAACCTTTTCATTTCAGTTAAAATTAAATTTTGCAAATTTTCATTTAATTGACCACGTTGAAGATCCGATAAAAATAATTCCCAGAGTCGGTCACTTATCCTTAACATAGCGTGTAAGCTATCACATACCCAATGTTTAATCGGGATCATGTCAAAGAGAGGAGGTCGAATGTGTCCATTGAGTTCTGAGTAGGATTCTTTAATCTCTTGCATATCTTTAGAAATTGTATTATATTCAACGATGTTGGTTAGATTTTCTTTATTACAATTACACCAAGGACAAAAATACTTGGAGTTTGCTGCATTCATTCCTAAACATATAGCTAGGAACTTCCAGTCCGAACTAAAATATAACTTGACATTCCAGTGTCTTTCTCCAACCTCATGAAATCCACGTTCATTTAAAAATCGTAAGTCTGATATCAAAGGTGCTAGTGCATTTTGAAGCGAATAATAATTTTCCATGCCGGGGAATAAAACTAATGTATAGTGTGATTCTGGTTTATGCAATTTATCTAAACTATTTAAAAGTGCAACAGTTACCATGACATGCTTAACTTTTTTGCCAACGTTTCGGCCATCTCCGGATATACGCAAATGTAAGGTAGATCCAGGTTTTAAAACCCCTTTTTGAACATATAATGGAACTATATAATTAAGTATATCTGTAATTCGTCGTTGTCCGCCTTTACCGATAGATGCAATGATGTTAGAAATTATGATTGGATCTGTAATATCAGACTCTTTAGTAATTGGTTCAAAACTGGTTGGCTGATCAATATCAACTAAACTAATAGGAATTTTTTCATTTACTCTATTTGTTATTTCTTGTCTCATATCATAAACTGCTCCAGCCCTAATTAATGATTCGTCAAGTCTAGCCAAAGACCTATATGCATTCTGAGAAATTCGATTACGATCAATTGACTTTACAATAGCTTGTGTTTGTAATTCTATTTTTCATTTGTTGATTTTTCCAAAATTGATATTATACGTACAACTATTGATTTCAAACTTTGCTTGTTTAAGGATAATGTTATCATTTGGATGAAAAAAATTCTCTTTTTCTTCTTCCGCAATTTCTAGTAACCGTTTTCCTAAACCTAATACATGTTTGCGCTGTGCTGAGATACTATAATCATTAAATGGTTTCATTCGTACTATCTCATTTGATGACAATATTTTACGAACTGATTCTACACTTTTACAGTATAAGCCAAAAAGAAGAGGCCCGGAGAGCCTGCTTTTGGATTCTGTTCGTTCATTGGTTTGAATATCTTTAACCAAAGCCTAATAAGAACTATACAGTATTAAGCTTGTATATAATATTAATCTTTAAAATATATTTGTTATTTTACCTCACAATATAATTGTGCAGCATGTGAAGTTGACTTTTCTGACTCTACAAACTTATCTAAATACTTTCCAAAGTATACTTGATATAATGGTTTATCACCAATATAATCTATCGTGCACTTAACAATATATTTTTTTTTTGAATATATAGTTCGAACAGCATAATTATGGGGTATAGGATACTTTACAGGACGCTGAGTATATTTAAGTTTATGCTTTGGTGGATATACACCTTCTTTGATTATATGAAACTTGAATGTTTGATATTCATTCTTTAAGACAATATCAGGGCTTTCCGGATAGTTACTTTCTTCTTTCCATACCATTTTGGTAAATAAAGTTTTTTAACAAATGCCAAACGCGTTTTGTAACCTGTTAATATTTAAATTCAACTGGTTGCTCAACCAGTTGTATTATTTATAGTCACATGTTTGCATTATTGTGTTTATAGATAATCGGTTTACTCAAAGTAGAATTTAGTTGATAGCGATAGTTCTTACGTACATTTTTTAAAAAAACGATTTTAATTTAATCTATTAATGAATAGTTCAGAAAGTGTGATTTTTTTATACCTTACAAGCTTGAGAGAACCAGAAAAACTAGCACAAATTACGCATTTATCTTATTAAGTATGTTAAGGTTTTATTATTTAATTTAATTAAAGAGTTGAATAGAATTCTTATGTGCATTATTTTTACAATTTCTTGATACGCAGATTTTACTAATTTCAATTATTCTTAAAATTTAAAATTTTAATAGCAACGCAATTATTCAATCAATTTTAATATCAGTTGATCGAACGTACATAAGTATGAGGTAATCAGTGATTAGTAATTCAATCATCCGGTATATATATATATGTGTGAAGATGACTGAAATTTTTTTGCAAATGCAAGAATAAGAATTCTGAAGGGTTATCAAGTAAGATTCATTAAAAATACGTTATCAATCGCTTTATAGTTCTTTTATCTATGTAACAAAAACATATAGAATTTTTACTAATGCCAAAGATCAAGGTTTGAGTCATATGATTCATAATCTAGAATCTTGATTTCTTTACTATATATCGGGGTAATTTACTTTTCTATATTAATACATATTCATTTCTTATGTTATCTCACAAGAACAGATATTTACAGGTCAGGCTTTGCTAAGTTTTTAATTACAGTCAGACCTCTCTAAATGCACATTAAAAAGGCCAAACTTCACTTAGAGAACAATAAAAAAAGCGTATTTATAGAGGCCACGTATATATTTGGATTGGATTAGAGTGCACATTTAGAGAGATCGTGCATTTAGAGATATCACTAGGGTTGTTAATGGAGCACTCCAATCAATAGTAAAACATATAACCCACTCCGGAGTACTCCAGAAGTGGGTTATATGTTTTATTAATATCTGGAGTGCTCCATTAACAACCCTAGGTATAGGGGTAATAAAATTTACTAAAAAGAATTATTATCGTTATATTAATAATAATAAACTTTGTGTAATAATTAATAGATTTGTGTAAAATTGATTGTCAGAATGAAAAATATAAAAAGAAATTAATATTTTCATAATATAAAGTTAATTTAGATAAATTTGGAAGTAACCGAATGTTACACGAGAATCGTGTATAGTAAAAAGAACAAAAATAGTTGTAAAGAGTAAGTAAAAGAGAGTTAAAATATTTTAAAGAATAACTTTGTCAATTTTAAAGCTACAAGAATGAAATATAGCTTGTTATGACAAGAAAAGTGTGTAAAACAAACTTTACTTATTGAAGAAAAGAAATTTAGAATAAATAAAAACTAATTATTTTTCTTGATATCATTAATGATTTCAAACCCGGTAAAAAGAATTAAAACGACTACGTATATATGTATTGGTACATATTGTTCTTTTTGTTTATTTATTTGATTTATTTAAAAGAACGTAACTTGGTTACGACACTTATGTGCGGGGTAGGGGCACATGAAATTTACTAACTATTTTTGTGTATCGGTATACAAATATATAGTTTGTGTCTCTGGTACGGATATATTTTCAACCACGGTAAATCTAATAAATATATCTGATATCGTATCGGTACGTACTTTTCCGTTAAAATGGCAAATACAGAAGAAAGCTTAGTAAATGATTTCAACAAACTGAATTTTTCAGATTGTCAAAAATCAGCAGATACGAACGATCCAGACGGAATTTTCTGGCTCGGTTATTGTTACGAATACGGAATTGGTGTTGAAAAGGATGAAAACAAAGCATTCACGCATTATCAAAAATCGGCAGAAGCGAATAATCCTAAGGGAATATATCAAGTTGGTTATTGTTATTATTTAGGGATTGGCGTCGAAATCGATAAGCAAAAAGCGTTTGCAAATTATCTGAAATCAGCCGAGGCAGGTAATTCCAATGGAATTTGGAAAACTGCTATCTGTTACTACTATGGAATTGGCGTGGAAGAGAATTATTCTAAATATCAGGAATGGATTAAAAAGTGTTATTTCTTTAATATATTAATTTCAATAATTTATTATAATGCATTCTAATTTTATTTTAAATTTGGAAATATCTCATACAATTGATTATCCGGTTTTAATTATTAGAGAGTAAGTCTATTTATTAATCTACATGTTGTTAATATTACATGTAAACTATTTATTATAAGCTCAAATATTTATTATACATGTTAATTTAGCCCGTGAGTATAAAGATTATTTATTGATATATCTGCTAATATTTATTTACCATTACGTTTAAAATCATTTCATTCACATTAATCATCACTCAGCTTGTGAGTTAAAGAATATTTATTAATCAATGTAATTAAAAACAAGTTCACAAATCAAGAACATAAATACTTATTTAAAATATAGTTGTTAGACGAAACCATGTGATGCTAAATGTCACATATCAATATTTAATAAAAACTAGATTAAATTTTTAGGTCTTGGTAGTTTATGACAGGTGATGATTATCATCACATGGTTTCGTCTAACAACTATAATTAAGATATTTATGTTTCTGTAAAGTTAGTAATTTATGAAAAATGAGTATCATTACTTATGACAAATTAAAATATTTCAGTAGATTTCAAAAATCTATATTCATTTATGTAACAATACAACCGACTAATCGCTAATTGTTAATTACGAGAAAGCCCTCATGTGACCACAATACAATTATAACAAATAATTAAACTTAATAGAAATTAAGTATTCAAATCACTATTTAGGAATTTCTAATTATGATTTTTAATCGAAGTGCTTTGTAATTGAAAATCAAAATCTGAATTATTTTTAGAACAGATTATTTTTGAATTTTGTCCAATATAGAATTTAAATTATTTAAAGCTGAACTTACCCAAATATATGAGATTAAATTCAGAACATTTTCAAAGTGGTTTCAGTCAAATTAAATAATATTTAAATAATGCTAGCAGTTATGAAATCTTTTAAATTATTTATTTTTACTCTTAACTTTTTGGCAATAATTCCAAACATCATATTGTCCGCCATCCCGCTTACATTTTATTGCACCCGTTTTGTACCAAGTGCAGTTTCTTTCAACACATCAATTGCTAATATTGCGTTAAATGTTTCTGCACTACAAGGCCCATGTGTAGAAATTGCCAGCACAGGAAAATATACAAATGGAAGCTCCTTTGCTGTAATACAAATAACTTCTGCAGAACCATTATGCTACAGTAACGTAGCAGGTGTTCAAGACACCAGAGGGAGTTCTGTTTGGTTTATGTCACCTCAAGGATGGGTTTGGTCTGGCTTGACAACTAATCTGAATTGGAATTTATCTTGTTAGGTGATCCGAAAAACAATAACTAGCCAGAACTTATAACAAAACTCATTTTGAATTGGCTGCATTTATAATAATTAAAATTTAGTAGTTGATATAATTTAATAATAATTCTGAATGTAAATCTGATAAAAATTTATTAATAAACTAATTAATATCAACGACCAATAGCGATAGAAACTTGGGGAACTGGTAAATGCATTGGTCTATTGCTCTAGACAAAGTATTATAGAAAATGTAAATTTCGGTATGAACTACTATACATTTTCTTTCTAAATTGAAATTGATTTGTTTAACGATAAAGTAATACTTTCAATAATTACAGAAAATACCTAAGAATATAGTTGTTAGACGAAACCATGTGATAATAATCATCACCTATCATAAAATACCAAGACCTAAAAATTTAATCTAGTTTTTATTAAATAATGATATGTGACATTTAGCATCACATGGTTTCGTCTAACAACTATACCTAAGAATATTTTTCCAAACAAAAAAAAAACTTTTAAACTATAATAGTGATGAATATAAATCTGATAAAAATTTTATTAATAAATTAATTAATGTAAAAACAGTTAATCAACGTAACGATTAAAGCTCTAATTAAATTTTGGTAACCTTTCACTTCACAAATATATAAAACAAAATTGTTAATAATTATATAAAGGAAAAATTATAAATATAAAAAATTTGATGTATGTTTATGCTATATCCAACTTCAATTCAAACTCAATTGGATAATGATCTGAAACACTCGTAGATAATTTCTTATTCAATTTTTTGTCAAATTTGAATATTCTGGTATTTCCAATCCATCTTTCCTTATTTTTAATTTCAAATACAAATCGATTATAAGCATTGCATTTTGAGGCAACAGTGGTATCACTCGAATGACCAATTCCCCACATCAGATCATTATTCTTTAATATTTTGTCCAGTTTAGTTTGCTTTGTCTTATTAAGATAAGAACCCGAAGCGTTGAAATCACCCATTATAATTATAGGCTCATTGTTATTTGAACTGATACATGAACCTCCAAAACAATAAAATACATTAAATAAAAAAGAAAACCTATCTTTTTTCTCTAATTTCGCTTTAATATCTTTATATATATTATTCACTAATGCCTTTATTTCATCATACGCATTATCTGGATGTGTATGGCATCCAACAAGAGTAATTCTAATATAAGTTTTTTTTAAATTTTGAAATTGAACGACATAAGGTACTCTTGAAATTTTGTTACAAAACTTTTCGATTGCATAATTTTCTAGTACATTCCATTTGTTCGATCTGTATAAGTAAAGATATCTTTCTTTATATAAACTTCTACCAATAGGTTGACTTGACACATAAGAGTATGGAATAGAGGACGTTGATACTTTGTCAACAAGTTGTTTGATCAGTTCTTCAGATAAATGAACCTCTTGGCAAAGAACAATATCATATCGCTTAAGAATTTTGACAATGATTTTCATTACGTCATCATTATTAAATTTTTTTTCACCAAATTCTTTAATATTGAATGTGCCAATTATGCTTTCCTTTGTCATATTATTACAAAAAAATTATATATGCATACTTTCTGAAATTGTCAACTTTATTATAGGTGATGTAAAATGAAGAAATTTGAATCAATTCAATTTTCATAATAATTTTTTGGATACCTCAACTTGATTATTCTAATAAATTAGTATAATTTTTTGTAAATGATAAAAATAAAAATTTTATATTGTCAAATCAACGCTTAAAGATAAATTTAATTGAATACATTTAATTTAAAATCGAAAGATCAAAAGTTAATAGTTTATATTATTTACAAATTAAAAGAAAGTACCTACAAAGTAATAATAAATAATTGTAATTGATAAATTTAGTTTAACTGACTAACCAGTAATCGGCATTATAAAGTGAGATAATTAAAGCTGTTTCTCATAGATTTTTTTTTTTTTTTTTTTTTTTTTTTTATTAATATAATGTCATAGTAGAAACTTTATTACAATAAACATATATTAATCTAAAGATTAATGGTCATCCTGTTACTAAAAAAGACTTGAGTAAGGGGGCAGATAAGTCATCTGACCAGGCTGTTAAATTTCTTCAACTCAGTACTAGCTAATAAAAAGAGGATATGGTTTAGTAAAGAAAAAATTTTCTCTATGGTAAAGATTTCTAACTACATTTGTGCTACAGAGTACCCAATATGATATTACACCTCCTATTCCCTATTTAATACTATTATTAATTTAAATGAATAAAGTAATTCTAGCTAGGATAGGTT